ATATCACATATTTTTTAAAATTTCTGTCTATGTATGTAAGATATCACATCTTACATACATAGACAGAAATTTTAAAATCTAATACATGGAAAGAAATTTTCACATGCTTCAAAGTAGAAAGTATGCTAAAACAGTAATAATTGCTTTTAGTTAAACATACAGCGTAAACTTATAAACATGGAAATCAAAATGGCGTTTTGTCGCAGCGAAAAAATTCGTTTTGCACGAATATTTTGTCTTGTGGAAAACGGCCTTAAATGTAAAAAGATATTAAGATAATTGCCAAAACTGATCAGCCAAAAAGCATCTTAATTTATTTGCAGATGAAAAATTGTATGTAATATATTCATTACCTAAAAAAAAACTCAACATTTACACTTGTAAAAAAAACTTATATATATAAAAAAATTGTATAATGTATAATATTCAAAACCTAAAAAAAAAACATTTGCACTTAGGATGTTCTTGATTTGCAGGATTTTCGCAGTGATTTTCGTTAAACTTAAAGAGTAAACTTAAAACTTAAATTGACTCTGCGAGTGAAAAATTGTTGATTGCTTTAGTTTTATTCATTAGTTGAATTTTGAACGTTTCTTAAATTATAAACGATTCCTTGAGGTATGTCAATTTTTTATTTCTTAAATAATCATTTTTTACTAATACTAAAAAACTTATTGTCTTTTTCGATACTTTTATAGGTCACATTATTAATTTTAAATATGACCAAAGAAAGACTTTCAACTTCCACAACTTAACTAATACTTGTAGTTAATGTGCTTTACAAGATATTGCTGTTAGTGGGCAATTTGTTTAAACAACCAAGATATCTGGTCTACAAGATAAACTATTAGGTTGTTTAACAAAAAAAACAATCTTACTGTGAACTGCACACAATCTTTAAAAATTTTTTTAAAAATATAAGATGCCTATAAAGATTTTATGTTATATAATTTAATATAATATAATTGCGACATATTACGGACTCCTAACTTAAGTTTTAATTTTCGAACCGTTGAAATCTTAAGTTCTTAAATGGTATTAATAAATAAAGACTTTTAAAAAAAATTATCAAAATTATATAATATGGCTGTATCAAAATCAAAAATTATCAAAAATAAAAACACTGTTTAAGGACTATAAAAATTAATTTAAATTAATGTTAAAATTAATAAGTATTTCTGATGCATTATTGAAATATTTAACATGAATTAAAAATAAGAGCTGTCCTAGGGTTGATCCGTGAGGCTTTGATTAGCTCTAAACAACCCAATGAAAAAATAACTAGAGAGACAAAAGTAAGGCAAAAACTTGACAACCTCTAAAAACAGTTAGCAGTTTTTTACAGGATACCAAATATTGTCGTTCAGGACAAAGAAATGGAAAACCAAGTTGAAAGTTGTTGACGGCTAGAACCTGAATGGCCTGATAAATAATGTTCTTTTTGCAAGAGGATTTATATCACATCATTTAGTTTGACTTGGAATTGATGGAGGTGGTTTATTCTTGAAAATTTCCTAAAGCGTAATTGACACATGTTCCAAAAAAAGTAACACTCAAGGAGCATCGTGTCTCCAATCAAGCTCTTATGCTTAAGATGTTGGTGTAAAAGATTATCTGATGGTTGCTGCAGCAGAGGACATGCATGAAATCTATGAAAATCTTAAGAATTTATGTAGTCTAGTTAAAGTGAAGATTTATCTTACGTAACCTCATGTGGCATTAAAGTAGTCATCATTTTGTATCCAGTCATACTTTAGCAAACACTCATGTTGTTGTATAGTCTCACAATCTTACAAGCTCTAGCCAATCTAGAAATTTAGTTCTTTATGCAACAGCTATGCTGAATTTTTTTTTTTTCCGGTTGCAAAACATTAATCGTCTTAAAATTATTCAAATGTAGTTAACATTTTATTTACTATTGTAATCTGAGCTTATTCTTGATGTAGTTTCTTCGATAAAACTTTTTTTTTTTGAATTCAAAGCCTTCTTTTCAAGCAACTCCTTGAAATATGAAATGAAGTAAAAGAATTGTCAATTCTTGTACTTCATTTCATATTTCAAGGAGTTGCTTTAGAATTTGCACCTTTAAATGTAAGCATGTGATGGGGGACAATTCAATAAAAATAGATACACCAAACTGTTGAATAATAATGAGATTCTTAAAAGATTTGCCGAAAAACATTGTCCATTGCAAGCAATGTTTTTAATTGATTGTTTCAGAAAGTTTCAATTTCTATTTATTAAACAAATATTTACATGAGATGAATTTTTCAGCAAAAAAAGTTATTTTCACGTGTCCTGATATCAAACTTGTATAAAGTTTACGGTAGGGGAAAGGCGCCCATGATGGCATACTTATCTTTGAAGCTTCATTATTCAGTATCCTGAAGACCAAGAATGAAAGCTTTTGATATCGATACATACTTTGTTAAATGCAGAACAATAAACCTTAGGAGTTTTGATCAGTATTTTTTTTTTATTATTAGTTATTTTTATTAAAAAAACAAACAAACAAACAGCATTGCAGAAAAATAAGTTTGACAGTTTCATTTTACCAGCTAAGAGATCTGTAGTAGATTATTCACACCGCCAGAATTTTTTATCACGGATGCGTTCATAAACATAACGCTTGTAAACAACCGTGTACAAATTTCATTTATTTGGACCAAGGACGCATTAATAGATGGACGTTTAACCCATTGTTATAGATCTGAGGCGCCGCGAGTATGCGAGCTATAATTTTTAGCGTCACTTTTCTGAATAATTTATAAAAGTAAACCGACGTTTTTCCGATAGTTTCGCT